AAAAATACATAATTTATTATAAATTTTGGCAAGCTGCAGGAAGGTACTGAATCTATATTTCATCATAAAAGGATGTGTTTGTTTTTCCCCTCCAGGAATTCCTTAAATCCATAATTCCATCAAATGTTGTTTAAATCCTACAAGGGTGAACATATTTTTTGCAACCTGTTTAAATTAAATACAAGTTTTGGTAAAACCCGTGAAGTAATCTTAGAACATGTCTCTGTATATACTTTATATAATGAATGTATGGACTTACAATTGGAATTTATTTCCTACAGCTGAATACTTCATATTCATTTTACCAAACCTCAGTATTTAAAGCAAACAAGAAGCTCATTTGTGCAATGATTTTTAAGTTAAAATGGGGACAGGGGTATTTAGACTAACATATAATCGCAACAGCATTTCAAATGTAAGATTTGCAAAAAGACATGTCTGATATTCTTTAATGAAGTTTATTAGAATAAATAATCAAATTTACAATTTTTCATCAGTTAAAAAAATACAAACTAAGAGTCTAAAATATGTTATCTAAAATCAGATTATGTTACATAAAACAAGTAAAAGACTTCTGTTTTACAAATAAAATCCCCATCAAAATAAAATATAACTGAAATTTAAGAAAGCAAGATTTTAGGAAAGTAAAACTAAGATATAAACATAAGAAAAGATTTTTTTTAGCAAATAGACACGAGTCCCATATTCTCTGTACAACATAAGACAAGATTTTTTTAAGCAAATAAACAGGAGCCCAATATTCTATATACATTGTACAACTAAATAAAGACATCAAAAGTCAGTTTATTGTACCTCCCTGCAGCCATCTATTCCAAGGCAAATTTGACAAATATTAATTTCCATGCAATTTAACCCATAATCTGCTGAATTCATGTAATGAATTATCCCAACTTTAAATAAATTTGGAACTGCCCATTTACAGTTTAAGGTATTTCAGTATCAAAATAGGAAAGTTGAGCTAACAATTTGGAACAGTCCATTTAAAGTTTAAGGTATTTCAGTATCAAAATAGGAAAGTTGAGCTAACAATTTGGAACAGTCCATTTAAAGTTTAAGGTATTTCAGTATCAAAATAGGAAAGTTGAGCTAACAATTTGGAACAGTCCATTTAAAGTTTAAGGTATTTCAGTATCAAAATAGGAAAGTTGAGCTAACAATTTGGAACAGTCCATTTTAATTTTAAGGTATTTCATTATCAAATAAGGAAAGTTGAGCTAACAACAGTATAAATCCTGGCCAGACTGCATGGTTATGGAGGCTCACCTATACTGTTAACTTCCAGCTGATTATGGGTTAATTCAAACAAAACTACATTTTGATTTAACAAATTACTTTGATCATACTCATTAAACTATTCTTACATGCGTTAAAGTTAATAAAATGAAAAGCTTAATGTTTTAATAATGTATATTATATAATTCTGCTTGAAAGAACGTGTAGTCATGGTACTTTGCAAGAGACTCGACTATGTATTTGACACTCTGCTCATAATTAAAGTCAAATATTAATATACAACACTATAAATCTATTCTCGTTTCACTTGCATTCACATGTATACAGTTAAAATGACCCTTCCTTTACAACAGAAAGGTTTAAATGTTATCACCCAGTAATGGGGTGTTTTTCTCTTTCTAAAAATCCACAATATATTTTAAATATTTGATATGTACAATAGTACTGGCTATAAGCAAATAGTTTAAATATCTGTACCAAAAAATGTTTTTAGCTTTTGATACAAATCTCTTTGAGTAACTTTTCTTTTCTATTACAAGATACAGACAATAGCGAGTTTATATAATTCTGTTATTGTTTTGAAATGTATCCACTACGGCACTATTTTCCTTCATTTTGTCATATATCACAAATTTCATTTTCTGGTCCTTAGATTATATTTCTGTCCCATTTTGTTCACAACCACATGCTTTGTTTTCGTCATTTTCTTCTCCGGTTTCTTCACTTTTATTACTTTTCGACGTTTACTAGTGTTTAAATCATTTTCATCATTATCATAAATCTCATGGTCACTACACTTTCGTTTCAAGTCATACTCGTTCTCTTTACCCATCTTCAGTGACCTACGAACAACTTTCTGGCATTCACGCCCACGTGTCGGATCTTTGACAGGCGAATTCTTCAGTCTCAACATACTTGACTTGGTATGTTTGACAACCATTTTGTTCTTCAAGGGGGATATTACCACTTGGAGAACACGGCTGTCGTTTAACGGTTTATGAAACTGGAAATAGTTCCCATTGTTTGCACGAGCTGCTTCCCTGAAACTGAAAGGCTTTGTTGATTTTGCCGTCTGCTTCTTAATCATAGGTGACTTCGGCTAAAATCAGACATATCCGATCCAGAATATTCAACAGATGCATGATCAATGTACGAATATTTTCGACTTTCCCGACTTGGACTCGGATTCTATCACTTTATTTTTGCTGTCCGCCTTCGATGGAGCTTTGTTGAAGAAAACTTCCGTGTCAGACAAATCCTCACTATCGCAATCTGCTACAACACCTGAACTATCTGCGTGGTAACTTTCAATCTTATGACTAGAGTTTCTGTCTTTAATTTTCTCCGAACTTCCTTGTGTATATGAGAAATCTAAGGCCGATATAGATTGCCTGAATTTATCTAGGGCAGTAGACACTTTGTCCGACAGACAAGGTGTGTTTGTAGAATGCCTTAAGGGGGATTCAAGGACTATTTCCTCTTTCTCAGTACCTTCAAGATTACGTATCTCTGCCTGCAGGTTGGCGACGCATTCCTCCCTCTTACTCAATGATTGGTCAGCTGTATCCATGGCAACCTTGCTATCCGACGCTGCACGCTCCAAGACCTTAATCGCCTCAGCCTGTATGAAAGAAATTAAAGATAGAGCATAATCAATTTACATCTAATTTTCAAAGCTGGTTTTCACATTGGATATATTTTTTTTTTTTCCAAATTCTACAATCTGTAGACTTTCCTCTACAAGATTTCAATGGCTTTAAAGCATTTTTCCTCCAGAAATATCTGCTTAGAATAAAACTGACAATCAATTCTTTATCAATATAATTCAGATCTATTAAATTTTAATCATAGACTGCTCATTTTTTTGGTATGTTTTATCAGATAATTTAACTGGAAAATATTTATTTTTCAAAGGTAACATACCTGTGTCTCCATGCGAGTTTCATATTCCTGTGTAAGTTCCTTCAGTTTGTCTATTTCTGACTGTTTCTGTTCGAATGTCTCGCCAGCCTCTGTCAGCATATCGTTTAATTCGCTGACCTCCTGCTCCTGTAATATGGTGAACACTAATGTAATGAAACAATCATTCTATAGTAATACATTCCTGCTTCAATATTCATTTTAGTTTTGTTTGCTTTTAAGTTATGTAACAACTGCTATGGCCTTACTGACACATGCCAGTTTTACTGGTAGAGAAGTATTTGCAGAAGGCCAAGAAGAAGCCCTGATTCTCCTTCCATTTTTTTCATGCACCGGCTGGCAGCAACAAACCCTCCATAACTATTAAGATATCATCTTCATATGTATGAATTTCATACTTTTAATATATTTTACAGGATTAAAATCTTGTGACACCGGATTCATGGTTCAAAGTCTGTAACAAAAGCCACTTGGCAAGAGGTACCCCTTTCATGACATACAAATGAATCATACTAATACATAAAATCCAAATGCAGGTCCTGGTAGTCTATACTTAATGAGGGTCCATTCGCCCCTTTCAGGCACAGACCCTTTATTGCAAGTTCTTGTAATGGTAAGCCTAAAATGATTACTCAGATAATGCTTCATTATAATCAAGACTGACACATCATATATGCTAGCCTACCTGTTCTTTTATATGCTGTCTTGCCTGCTGCAGTTGTTGTGTAAGATTCTCAACTAGATCTGCATTACTAGAGTCCTCTACATTCCTCTCCTCTTTCTACCAGACATAAAAATAAACATAAATTATGTATCAGTCAATGCTTTTCAAACCACATGTAAAACAAGAACACACCCTAGTCTCCAACACTATATGAATACAATACTTAACTTGTTTGTTAAGTTTGGATTCTTATTTCTACAAGATAGTGACAGTTCCAACATTCTCTTCACTTCCTCTGACTTGATTATACCTAACCATGACTAATACTTAACAATCACATATTATACTGAGCAGGGCATGCATGCCACAAAAAAAATCTGGAAAACATTAAGTTCAGACGTAGCAATAAACAAAAGTGTGAAGTATAAAACAGCAGTGTTGTACAAAATAACAGATTGGGATCAAATATTAAACTGTAATCAGTGCCAAGTAAATTAAAGTTATTTATCTTAACTTCTCAAAAAATATAGGGCTATACAAGCATTTATCTTACAGACATGAAATAAGTAGAACAGGATAAACAATGTATACCTTTACCAGTTCCTCCTCTAGGGATTTTATTTTCTCCTCATACTCTGACAACATCTTTGAAATTTTCTTTCCCTCTTTATTGTGTTCCCTTTCCTGTAAAAAATGGGAGAAATTTCATTAAAATATATATCAATTGACAAAACTAAAGCTTGTATATTTTTGACTAATTTCTTTAATAGATAAAACTGGCCTGGTTGTTCTTAAACTTGTTTTTTTCCTCAAAGTTCTGGCTCTAATTTCAGAATTTTCATTGATCAGTTTACATTCTCTGACAGTTTCTGACCAATCAAATACCTGAGATCTGAGTTTTAGCTTAGAGAATCTTTAAAATATTTATAACATAACCTGGACCCTGTTTTAGTTTTAAGAATACTTGTTTAATTTTTTTTGCAATTATAAAGTTTAGGGATGGAAAGGCATGTCAGAGTAGGGTTTAGGAAAATGCAAAGCTTAATAGTTTAATAGAAAAGTTCAATGAAACAATTCATTTTTTTTTCTGAGAAAGTATCTGAGAATGGCCAATATTAAAGGGAAAAAACTAAATGAGAGGGTATATCATACTAGACTTTTACCTTTTCCAACTGGTCTTCTAAATCTTTTATCCTATTCTCATAACTTCCAACTTTCTCTGTCAAATCTTTCAGTTTTGTCTCGTAAGTAGACTCCTGCAAAACAAACAAAGTACATGATTGTAGTTCTTATAAATCTCCAAATACCATAACTAAATGACATCAGACCATGTGTTCACAAATAATCAAAGATCAGCATAAAAATTCATGGTCCAAAATTCCCCCAATAGTTAATAATTAGTTTAATCCAGATGTTATTGAAAAATGAGCTAGTTTCATAATAGATAAGTAGCTTTTAACATTTTGAAAAGTTACTAAAGCATTTAAGTCTTGTATAATGAAATTATATACAGCAATGAAAACAAGATCAGAAATTACTAATAACTATTAAATACTGATTTAATATTTTCATACTAAAAACACAGCTCAAGGTTACAAATTCAAATTTTTACATTGTGACACATGCTTAGTCCTTTAACTTGCACATTACTGGTTTAAATCATGCATTAATTCCATGCTAATCTATATTCTATGCCTGATAACTAACATATCTTCACTTGTCACCTCAGTGTGTATTAATTTTTGTAGCTGCCAATTTACCATCATACACTACATCATATAGAAATGATAATCTGGAGGAAAGATTTAGAATATAATATACGGTAAGTAAATGCTTCCCAAAATCTAGTATTTTGAATGAAAGAGGGGGAAAAAATCCATAAAAGCACAATAAAAGAAATTTAAAATTGATTACCTTTTCTTTTAAAGTGTTAATTTCTTCTTTCAAACCTTTGATTATTTCATCTTTCTTCTGAAATAAAAAAAACAACAAAATAATTTTCAAATTAAACTTCGCCTTGCTTCTACATGTAAAACTGACGCAAACATAATAAACTTTCATGTTTATATCACTTCTTTCCAGCTTGGGAAAGAAAATCTTTTTATCCTGCTACTGTCTATATCATCAGCTGGATAAAGCCTTGCCGGATACACTTATCTATCTCCAGTCATTACGTCATATGATGACGTCTGGTCACATGTTTAGCAGCAAAATAAAACTACATATAGATGCTATTTTATCGGGGAAAAAGAAGAATGAAACCATTTAATTATTCTAAAAACATGATAAAAAGCAGGATAAATCAAATACATGGTTGATGTCGAAATGGAGAAGGTTTATCCGGTTTGCTGCGAAAGTGAATCTTGGCTCACTAAAGCTCGCCAAGATACACTTTCTCGCTCACCGGATAAACCTTCTCCATCCCGACATCAACCATGTATCAGTGTTGCATCTAGGCCGCGCGATTGGCGCATATTTTTTTGCAGATCGCGCATTTTAATGAAGTCAACGCGCGCCAAGTCGCGCATCTGACAATTTTTTAACTTTATTCAGTTTAAGCTTCAGCCATGTTTGTTTTCACTCGTGGTAATGACTAAAAGACGTACTAAAAAGCGTGTAGCAGCCGACTGGGTCATCTCGCGTGTGTTTTGTAGTATTTGTCAATATTTTATTTTTCTACTTCCGTTTTTGAGCGGACGATAGCTGTTAAAAATGCCTGAACGTAAAATAAATGAATTATTTTCGATAAGTCATAGTGTAAGGTAAATGTATGTCCCCCACATTTTTTTCATATCCCCCACATTTTTCAGTTGAGTGGGGGACTATCCCCCAAAATTTTGAAATTCTAGATGCAACACTGATGTATTTTCTATAAATCATCCTTTATGCATTATTTCCTGCACAAGCAGACACCAGAGCACAGCTACCAAATTTACACAAAACTGTTGGGAAGATTTCTTTAATACATTAAACAATTCAACATCAATCTGAGAAATACAGTGCTGATGGGCAACTGATATTTGAGTGACAGTAACAGCTCGGACAACGCAGATAATTTCTGTATCAATTCAAAACACAGGCTTTAAAAACTGTTTTAACTCTAAATGACTGAATTTCTTTTACTCATTAGAATATTAACATTTAGAAGAATCCTTGTTTAGCAACAGAAGTGCTCCAGAAATTTGAAAGAAGCACACACATATAAAACAGCTTAGGAGAAACATAAATATAAGTTAAAAAAAATTACAGGCCCATTATTCCTTAGAAATGCTATCATTTTTATGTCTTTTTTTTATTTTGGTATACTTAGGTTCCAAAATAATACTTATTTGCCATATACATGAAATGTCTTTTGCTCCTTCATCTCAATTTGCAATGGATATAATTATAGTGAATTAGTATTTTGATGGATATCAAAATACACATGTACTAATATGTTTTACATTTTGCTACCTTTACAGCACATTACTGCACATCACATTAAGCGCTACTTTCTTCTGTTGTTAAACATTTAACATGCTCTTAATCCATTATTGAAACATTACTAAACTCATATTTATCAATTATAAAGAATAAAAAAATATAGATTTCTGAGGCATAATGTGCCTTTAAGATTTACAAACTGTTACCTCAACTTTTATCTTTTCCTGGTGTAATAACATGCTAGACACCCATTCGTCCTCGCCATCATTCATCATATCTTTCCTCTTTGCCCTTTCAGCATCCAATACAATCTTTAGCCTCTTCTCTGCCAGTTCCTCCGCACGCTGTTCTCTAACCCGGATACGCTCACTGTACAAACATGACAAACAAAATTGTTCAACTGAACTTATCTCAAAACTTTTCTCCAAATTTCCAGTTTTTTTTTTCTTTTCTCTAAATTACCTTTGTTTAATAAAAGATTTCTACACTCAAGGTAAATGTAATACTTTAAATCATAACAATAAACATTTTGTTTAAGGATTTTTTTATTACTACCATACATTAATTCATCTACATGGGTGCAAGTTAACAATATCAGAAAACCAAAAAAAACACCTGAATTTAGCATTATTTCAATTGTTTTTATATTAAAAAATATAGTGCTTTCAGCAGAAAAAAAAACATGAACTTCAGGCAAATGCCTGAAATAGAGATGCCTGAAATAGAGGCTTGCATAATATAATTTTATTCAACTTGTGCAATAAATTCAGTAATGAACTTACACGAATTTAATAAACCCAAAATAAAGACCGTTTAAAGTGAAATCAGAGTTATTTTTCATTAACGCGCCTATAGTATAACGCTTACATTTAGCGCCTCTTTACACTATGTTTGTATAACGCTAATGACGTCACGTCAAAATATATGCACGGCCGTGCAATACCATATTTACGGAGTCATATATACATGTATGTGTTTAAATAGTATAATGTACCTGTACTGTTCCTCAATTTCTGTAAATTGTTTCATCATTTCCTCACAGACTTCTTTACGTATCATCTTCTCCTGCTTGTATTTAGAGTGTATCTCATTCTCAAGGTCCGTCTGAAGCTGCTCAATTATACCCAGTAATTCCTGCACAAATATAACATTGTAATTAATCCTACACACGTATATACCCAAACTGTTAGCAAAGACACATGTACACCTACCCTTTGAACCTGGTAGAGATTAAAGTAAATATTCAAATTCACATGACTCCAATATTTTGTTGCTCAAAAAAATCAAACATTTTATTTTGATCTTAAAACACCTAAAATAAGACTGGATAGGAGATTAAATTGACCTGTATTTTGTAGTTTTTTCATCCATTCTATCTTTGAAACATACCTCCTTTAACAGAGAAAATGTTCAAGTGTATCAAATTTGAATATAGTAAAATAATTATGCTAAATAAATCTATATTTCTCAATCTACTACATAAGTCATTCTGATCAATTTGTTTTAAGAAAAGAAGGAAAACTTATTTCAGCTTGGAAGAAATCATCTTTCAAGTAACATATAGATAACATATGTTTTAACATGTGATAAAAAAAAGGTTATTTCCCATGACATAGCCCTCAGCCCTCCAGGATTTGACCACATGTCAGATTTACCTGGAGGGAGCCATATTAACTACATGCAGAATGTCTGTAATGTACAAACATGATGCAATCTGCGAGCAAGGATGGTTGTCATCATAGGGCATTGTTTACATTATAATATTTAACTATCTAACAACATACCTAGAACAAAACTATATTATTTTTGTTTTTCAAATAGCAAAGAGCTTGTTTTGATTTCAGCAGTCGTGTTACATCTAAGATGGTCTTTTCCACAAAAATGGCGATCTACCTTGGTAAATGCTGTGGTATATTCCCCCTACCCCCGGGCCCCAAATCAGACCTTGCACTCTTTTACCCCATAACACTGGACTATAAGAAAAACTCTTAAAATGACAAAAAGTTTCACATACATCAATATTCTCCTGTGTGTAAATTTGTTCCTCTGTCTCAGATTCTTCAAGGTCGTCATCTTCCAATTCAGGTAAAGGTACATTCTCAGCCTCTCTTTGTTTTAATGTGTTGTTTCCTGTATAAACAAAAGTTGTCATTTAAAATCAACATTCAGCAAGTTTTTTAAACACATTAAATTAAAATGGTAGCCTTGTGGCTAAGGTTTCTATTCCTCAACCTCAACAGATTGGATTTTAAGTTTTAATACTTGGGTCATTACCAAGTATGACTAGTGGTCAGGGAAGTAGACTTCATAACATAACTACTCTAAAATGACAGAATGTGTTTCAAAATGAAACATCAATAAATAAAGAATCTAAATTTATAATTGGACAAATGAGGCCAACCTTTTCAATTCTACTTACGTTAACATTGAAATAAGGTCTTGCTATAAAAATCAGCCTAAAAAAATACAAAATCTCAAATAACAGGTGCTCTTGAAAGGTAAATTAAACTAGAACTATCACTAAATGTGATTAATACCCCCACAAGACTGCTTCGGAAATGAGTATGTTACTAGTTACAGAATATCTTGTAAAAGAATTGAAATATAGAGTTATGGTTGTGGCAACTAAAGATAGTTGTGGTTCTTGTTTTCAATGTGGTTGGCCATTGATGAAGTTTTATTGAATTACGCTGTAATAAGTCCAGAAAGACAAGGAAAAGGCACAGAGGGCAATAACTCTATAAATACTGTAGATGGAGTTATAGTTCTTGTGCACTGCACTTCCTCTTATTGTGCTTGACCATTGTATGAAGTTGTTTTGAATTCCAACCAGTATGTTTTAAGTTATGCTCCGGACAAGGAAAAGTATCAAAGGGCAGTAACTCTGTATTTTGTCAATATGGAGTTATGCCTCTTGTGCACTGCACTTCCTTTTAATGTCCTTGACAACTGTATGAAGTTGTATTGAATTCCAAACAGTAGTTTTTAAGTTATTCTCTGGAAAAGGAAAAGTAACAAAGGGCAATAACTCTGTAATTAGTCAAGATGGAGTTATGGTTCTTGAACACTGCACTTCCTCTTAATAAGCTTGACCATTGTATGAAGTTATAATGAATTCCAACAATTAGTCTTCAAGTTATGGTCCGGACAAAAGAAAGCAATGGAAAAGTAACAAAGGGCAATAACTCTGTAATTACTTTAGATAGAGTTATGGTTCTTGTGCACTGCACTTCCCCTTATTGTGTTTGATAATTGTATGAAGCTGTTTTTAATTCCAACCAGTAGTTTTCAAGTTATGCCCCGGACAAGGAAAAGTAACAAAGGGCAATAACTCTGAAATTGATCAAGATAGAATTATGGTTCTTGTGCACTGCACTTCCTCTCAATGTACTTGACCATTGTATGAAGTTATAATGAATTCCAACAATTCGTCTTCAAGTTATGGTCCGGACAAAAGAAAGCAATGGAAAAGTAACAAAGGGCGATAACTCTGTAATTACTTTAGATAGAGTTATGGTTCTTGTGCACTGCACTTCCCCTTATTGTGTTTGATAATTGTATGAAGTTGTTTTTAATTCCAACCAGTAGTTTTCAAGTTATGCCCCGGACAAGGAAAAGTAACAAAGGGCAATAACTCTGTAATTAATCAAGATAGTGTTATGGTTCTTGTGCATTGCACTTCCTCTCAATGCGCTTGACCATTGTATGAAGTTATAATGTATTCCAACAATTAGTCTTCAAGTTATGGTTCGGACAAAAGAAAGCAATGGAAAAATAACAAAGGGCAATAACTCTGTAATTACATTAGATAGAGTTATGGTTCTTGTGCACTGCACTTCCCCTTATTGTGTTTGACAATTGTATGAAGTTGTTTTGAATTCCAACCAGTAGTTTTCAAGTTATGCCCCGGACAAGGAAAAGTAACAAAGGGCAATAACTCTGTAATTAGTCAAGATAGAGTTATGGTTCTTGTGCACTGCACTTCCTCTCAATGTGCTTGACCATTGTATGTAGTTATATTGAATTCCAACCATTAGTTTTCAAGTTATGCTCCGGACAAGGAAAATGCAACGGACGTCTGGACCGACCGACCGACCGACCGACCGACCGACCAACCAACCGACCAACCGACCACCGGGTGACTCCTATATACCCCCCCAAACTTCGTTTTTGGGGGTATAACAACTGATCTGACAAAAGTAAAACAGTGATTTTTTTCAGTTTTTGGGGAAGGGGGTCAGTGCCCATTGGGTGGGGAAAAATAGCGCGTAAATGCCAAAATAGGGGAATTTTCAGTGTTATTAATATTCAATAAAAAGACTAAAAATACATGATTTTTTAACAATCCTATAAAATAAATTAGTTGAACACTTTCTTCGCTTACTGTGTTTTCAAAATTGAAGTAATGCTATTGATATTTTTTGTTTCTTATATTTTTCAGTTTTTTTTTTTTTCAATAACAACAAATGTTAACTTCACCAGCATATCATTAGCCATTATTCACACAGATTTATTTGTTATGAAATTTTGCATACATAATCGCAGTTTCTATAATCATAATTTATCATTTCTTTGCACTGGCAGACAAGTTATTTAGTGAATTGATTGGAAATATTTATATCATGTATTATAACTAAATAAAATAGATCTACGCTGAGAAAAAAATATCGCATAATCGAGCTTGCATTGGTCTGGTTTTTGATATTTTTCCTTTGAACCTAGCACAGAAAGTGCCTGCTGTTTAAAAAGAACATCAATACGTTTGTTCTTCGAGGAGCATTTTTTATTTATTATCTTTCGATAACATCAAGATCGACTGTTGTGTGACATTTTTGCAGTAAATGCGATAGTCGTAAAAGCCGTAAAGATACAGCGACAATTCGACACATCGGCAGTTCGGTAACTTGAGGATTTTCATCTTGTTACTGTAATCTCTTTTTGATAGCGTATTTTTCTTTCATTTTATAATATTCTGTTTATTTTATACTTACCAAGTAGGCGAGTGTTTAATTATAAATATTTGCATGTATTATTTCATTAAAGCCAACGGTAAATAACAAACTCAATAACCGACTGTCGCGCTACCGTATTGTCTTACAGCCGCGGTAAAATGAACGACCTATGTCGCAAAGCAAACGTAAAGTAAACATCCCTGATAATAATGATAGAGTTCATGAATTTGCTTTGCGAATCAAAATAAATTGGCATATTTTACTTATGGTTTGTGTGTCTTCTTTCTGTTTCTTGTTTGGGTATATTTTTTGACGGTGGGGAATTTTCGCAATTTCATGGGGAAAAATATATATTCCGAGAGGTGGGGAAAGGGGCCGAATATCGCCGAATATTTCGACCAAAAAAAACACTGTAAAATAACAGATTTAAGCTAATGATTTCTACAACTGTATGGTTTCTGTCTGAGTAGGTGTTAAGCAAATGTTTGCCTAGAAATAGTGAAAGTGGAACATACTTGCAGGAGTAGCCCAGCTGATCGAGGTCCTCGGGATATGTGCAGGAGCTGGGGCCAGAGGTAACTTTGGTTTGATAAATACCGGCTTCTGTTGAACCTCCACCTGTGAAAATGACACGTAAAAATTACCATTGTGACTTCACTTAATAGGAACAATAGTGTAAAATGATAAAGTTCATAGCCCTGACAGACACTGTTGCTTTAAGAAACTATATGACACTCAAGGATGAAGCTTCATTTTTTTTTTTAATAAACATAAAATGATAATCATTTTACTAATTTAATGAATGTACAAGTTTTCTTATTTCCACATGCTACAGATGAAAATCCTGTCATCACTGTTTTTAACAGTATCTACGAGGGTTGTCCCAAAATGTCGTAGACTACACTATTTTCTCTTCAACCTGACGTCATAACTTAATAAAATTTACCAGATATCTTCCTTGGTCATTTGTTAATTTACCTACTTAAAGTCTATAGCCAATATATTAGGTAACGCTTTTATCAGGGTTTTCTATTTAACAGTACAACATACCCGGAGCAAGATAAAATATTAGTCAGTGTTGAGAGCATGCTTCTTAAAATAATACCTTTAACTTCTAGCATAATAATATTTATGGGAAATACATTCATGTGGAATTACGTCATTCATTTTTACGTCATATCACCAACAGACGTTTATGTAACGTTAATTTGAAAAAAGTCTGTAGCATAATGCATAACAGCAGCGCTATTTTGAAAATGCCCAAAATGGCGACGTCAGATAAAAATGTGGCGCAACACAATGTCATTGAATACTGTGTTAAGTTGAAGAAGCGTCCAGCGTTAATTGACAACATGAAGAACATTATATTTTATCAAGATAATGCACCTTGCCATAGATCTCAGGAGACACAGATTGAACTTGATGTGATAGGTTTTCAGAGACTTTCGTACGCCCTAAGACTTTGCAGTGTTTCCTTATTTGAAATCACAATTACGAGGTCACAGGATCGAAAACTTCAGCGAACTCCGCCAGGAAACTCAACTCTGCGAGTGTTGAGTACCTTGAAGCAGGACTGTTTTGAAAATGTTTATGATAAATGGGTCGCCCAAAACTGACAAAGCATAACGAAACACTATGAATACTTTGAAAAAGCATATTAAACATTCTTATAACGTCATGACGTTTATGAAGGTGTGGGCCAGGAATGTCTAGGTAGCATTCTTTAAATTTTGATAACTTGGTCAATTTTGGAGGTATTTTGATTTTATTTCGCATAGACACACATAAAAGGTGTATTGACTTTTCCCTAGCTGGAGGACTCTATTGTATTATAATTGATTGAGTAACAGACTTTGTCTACGATATTTTGGGACAACCCTCGTATTAATAATTATTTTAAAGTTTGAGATAAAAACAGTATACTATTTCTAGAACAATATTGTTGTTCTGAACCTTTGATGGCACTTCAAACTTAGCATCAATGCTGTCTCACCTTGCTAGCGATCGCTGAAAACTTGAACACATGCATCGTCTCGTCAAACATACTGGCTAGCTGGTTTACGTTCACAATCATAGCTGCTTTACCCTGACCTACGAAGAAATTCTGGAATAGTCTTGTCAACTTTGACTCTCTGAATGGAATAATTCTGCTGTTCTCCCTTCAAATAAAAAACATCTTTTACCTGATTTTTGTCACAAAAAAAAGAAAACCATTGTCAGTCAGAGAAAAATTTGTGAGACCTTTGGAAGTAAGAACACTCCAGTGATTTTGAAGCATTTTCATTCATAATACATGACATTGTATTTGTGTGGTAGTAAAGTATGCACAAGTATCTAAACATGTGCCCCTTTTTTGCACACACATTTGTATTGCAATTAGAAGCACATCTATGCAGAAAAAATTGCAGTTACTTTAAGAAAATTTTACAATTAGGTGTACAGAATCATGAAAATTTATATGTTGACTTACTACATGGATTAAGTCAGTTTATATTTGAAAATTCTCCCCTGAAACAGAGGAATGGTTTAGTCCATATATACAGAAGTAAGAGTCCATTTCAGATACTTTGTTTGTTTCATTTTTACGCCTTTTACCAACAGTATTTCAGTCATATAGGCGGGACAGATACTTAGTGTGGAAAGGTTTAATAAACAAAACTAGTAACATACTTATGAGCTTGATTGTGCCTCAATGTTTCTATGCAACGTCCCAGTGTTAGAAGTGATGTGTTGATATTTCCAGCCTCTTTCAGACGGTCACCTGTTGTCTGTGTTTTACCATGCCTTTCTGACCCAGCTAAATCACACAAAGACAACCTAAAATGTAGAAATAATAATGACTCCCTTACAATAATGAACAATATAGACCTTTTATAAACTACAATTTTAAACTTTCAAGCTTTTTTCTTCTTCTTAGAATCATTCATTAAAGAAAGCTCCTGCATAAAGCATTTAGGACTTTAAGTCAATACTTTAAAACATTTGAATTTCTTTCTTTTTTTATGGAAAGCTCTGGAAGCCCTTACAGCTTACCATTCTATTCCCCCTAATTTCCTACACTCTCTAAATAGTTAAAGATCTTTACAAAATTTGCAGTACTTTTTTTCCTATAGAGGGGTACAGTAAAAGATCCAATCAAATAATCAATGAGATTTTTTAGCATACATCACGATGGTAGAATTTGTAAAAATTGTATTTTTAAAGTAGGCTAAACTTATTCTGTAGTCAAACAATATCCCTCAAAAAAGCATCCATGGTAGATAGTCCTGGATATGTTAAAACAAACCCCACATCTTTACTCACATACTAACTCTGGCTGCATGAGGATTGTCCTTATCTATAACACGGATGATTTTGATGTTAAAAATACAATGACTGAAAAAAAGAGAGTATAATAGTTTGAGAAAACAAATATCTTCAGACCTTTCAATGGATGCACAACCAAAATAATTAACATTTAGAATTTTATTATGCTAACATTAAAAGATCACAACAAAGCTGAACATTTATTGAGTTGGAAATAGTATTCATCAGGTGCATTCATAAACAAGAGCTGTCTGTAGGACAGCACGCTCGACTATTCTAAGTGCTTGATAGTAAAAGAGCCTTGATAATGTTAAATTTTTTAAGTTCACAAAAGGGCTAATTTTTTTTTATAAATTCATGTTATAGGTCTTGGAGAGAGCCTAATTATACAGAATTGGCTTGACTATTTGGAAGGTAATGTCACGAGGGTTTTTTATTGAGTATAATAATACTAATTACCTATGAATACATAAATTTGACAGAAAAGGTACAAAAGCTTGTTATTAAGATGTTTTATCAAGTAAATCACTGCTTTATTATTATGAATCCAAAAAAAGGCACAAACCCTTCAGTAGTTATTGAGATAACAGCTTACAAGCAAAACTTTACCATGAATTTCTAAGTTGAAAAAGGGGAGAAAAATCAGCCTAAATGCAAGATAGAATTATGGATCTTTGTCAGTGACCTACAATTATGATCCTAAATGCATATGTGAAGTTTTAAATAAATATCTTTAATAGTTATTGAGATATGTAAAACTTGCATGTAAACATTAACCAAGAGACTAAGTAGAAAAGGGGATATGAATCAGCCTTAATGCAAGATAGAGTTATGGAACTTGGTCAGTGACATACAATTATGCCCCTCCAATTATGACCCTAAGTGCATGTGTAAAATTTCAAGTAAATATCTTTGAAGATTTTTAACCTTTAACCAAAATTTCTAAGTTTCAAAGGGGCAAATAATTCTGCAAATATTGCAGACAGAGTTATGCAATTTTGCAAACTGATGTACATTGTTATTATAAATAAGAATTTTAAATTTCAATTGAATATCTCAAGCAATAATTGAGATATTTGACTTTACAAAAAAACTTTAACCAAAAATTCGAAGTTCCAAAGGGGCATAATTCTGTCAATATGGTAGGCAGAGTTATCCAACTTGTCAGTCTGATGTACATTGTTACTATAAATAAGCATTGTTAGTTTCAATTGAATATCTCAAGCAATAATTGAGATATTTGACTTTACAAAAAACTTTAACCAAAATTTCTAAGTTAAAAAGGGGCATAATTCTGTCAATATTGTAGGCAGAGTTATCCAACTTGTTAATCTGATGTACCTTGTTACTATAAATAAGTATTGTAAGTTTCAATTGAATATCTCAAGCAATAATTGAGATATTTGACTTTACAAAAAACTTTAACCAAAATTTCTAAGTTAAAAAGGGGCATAATTCTGTCAATATGGTAGGCAGAGTTATCCAACTTGTCAATCTGATGTACCTTGTTACTATAAATAAATATTGTAAGTTTAAATTGAATATCTCAAGCAATAATTGAGATATTTGACTTTACAAAAAACTTTAACCAAAATTTCTAAGTTAAAAAGGGGCATAATTCTGTCAATATTGTAGGCACAGTTATCCAACTTGTCAAGCTGATGTACCTTGTTACTATACATAACTATTGTAAGTTTCAATTGAATATCTCAAGTAATAATTGAGATATTTGACTTTACAAAAAACTTTAACCAACGCAGACGCCGACGCGACTACAATAGCTCTCATATTCTTCGAATAGTCGAGCTAAAAATATGATATATCTAAATTTTTGATACATGTATATGAGCATTTTTAGCAGAAAGACCCATCTTCAATGTTTTATATTTCAAAAGATGTCATAAAAAGACAGGATAAATCTTAATACCAACAATATTAAGAACAGTTAAATAAGAAGTGTCTGAAGAAAAAGAGCACTTATAATAATATGATTAAGCTCCCTTAACTTTCACCATGACTATGTGACAAGTAATAGAAAGAGCACCGAAACACGAGGCTATCTGATTTGTACGAGGGGGCGTAGCACCCGAGTATTAATCAGATTGCCGAGTGTTTTGGTGTTCTTTCTCTTTTGTATCATAGTCAAACATAAAAACACGTTCCTTGTTGTCACAATATGAAACCCCAGAAAAAAGTAACCAATGAACGAGCATCTGAATATCATATTTCTGTCGCGTTTCCTTTCTCTGCTGTCACAATAAGTAAACCCCAGCAAAAATGAACCAATCAATGGGGTGCTCAGGAGTGCGGGTAACTAATACATGCACTCCATTTAACGCACTGTGCATGTATATGTTTACGATTTAACGCTGACGCATTTTCAACAGAAAGGTCCCCAAACTATGATCCAATAAGTTGAATAACCCCCCTCCAGGGAGCATTAACTGTACATACCTTCTAGAGGAATTGTGGTTAAGTTTAGTACAAGCTGTCTGAAGGTTCTTCTGACCAATTGTAAGTAATTTGTATGCTTCATCAGCTGAATTCACCTGTATATGCTTCAATCCTGTTAAATATAGGACACTTTTAATTTATCTGTTCAAATTCATTATAATCAAAACCTTATTACAAAATATTACTTTCCAAGTAACAAGCCTTGTGTATACAGCTATAGAAGAAATTATACCAGTAAAGTTTTAAATGACAATTCTTTTGACTGCACCATCATACTCATTTAAACATCAAGAACACCAGAACACCATTTCATCCTAGTTTAACAACTTTATTTATCTACTGGTTTCAGTCAATCACTGAACTTTATGATTTTATCAGAAACTAGAAATGTGTCCATAGGACACGGATGCCCCCACACGCCACTGTTCTGTCAATCTTATGACTCTAAGTCAAATATTTTTTGGACTACATGTGCCACAAGTTGAAAACTAAAAATCAACAAAGGGCCATAATTCTGTAAAATTTGGTCGCATCAAAAATTCCTTCCTTTACTACCATCTACACATTAAGGTTGTTAATCCCTGGAAGTTTAAGTAAAATCTGCCATCCAGTTTAAGAGGAGTTTCGTTCACAAAATTTCTACATAGTATATAATGAAAAAATCAACAAAGGGCCATAATTCTGTTAAATTTGGTTGCTGCAAAAATTCCTTCCTTTACTGCCATCTACACATTAAGGTTGTTCATCCCTGGAAGTTTAAGCAAAATCTGCCATCCGGTTTAAGAGGAGTTGCATTCACAAAATTTCTACATAGTATATAGTGAAACTAGAAATGTGTCCATAGGACACGGATGCCCCCACACGTCACTGTTCTGTCAATCTTATGACTCTAGGTCAAATATTTTTGGACTACATGTGCCACAAGTTGAAAACTAAAAATCAGCAAAGGGCCATAATTCTGTTAAATTTGGTCGCAGCAAAAATTCCTTCCTTTACTACCATCTACACATTAAGGTTGTTAATCCCTGGAAGTTTAAGCAAAATCTGCCATCCGGTTTAAGAGGAGTTGCGTTCACAAAATTTCTACATAGTATATAATGAAAAAAATCAACAAAGGGCCATAATTCTGTTAAATTTGGTTGCAGCAAAAATTCCTTCCTTTACTGCCATCTACACATTAAGGTTGTTCATCCCTGGAAGTTTAAGCAAAATCTGCCATCCGGTTTAAGAGGAGTTGCATTCACAAAATTTCTACATAGTATATAGTGAAAAAATCAACAAAGGGCCATAATTCTGTTAAATTTGGTTGCAGCAAAAATTCCTTCCTTAACTACCATCTACACATTAAGGTTGTTCATCCCTGTAAGTTTAAGCAAAATCTGCCATCCGGTTTAAGAGGAGCTGCGTTCACAAAATTTCTACATAGTATATAGTGAAAAAATCAACAAAGGGCCATAATTCTGTTAAATTTGGTTGCAGCAAAAATTCCTTCCTTAACTACCATCTACACATTAAGGTTGTTCATCCCTGTAAGTTTAAGCAAAATCTGCCATCCTGTTTAAGAGGAGTTGCGTTCACAAAATTTCTACATAGTATCTAGTGAAAAAATCAACAAAGGGCCATAATTCTGTTAAATTTGGTCGCAGCGAAAATTCCTTCCTTTACTACCATCTACACATTAAGGTTGTTCATCCCTGTAAGTTTAAGCAAAATCTGCCATACGGTTTAAGAGGAGTTGCGTTCACAAGATTTCGGGACGTACGGACGGACGGACAAGTGCAACGCTATATGCACCCACATTGTGGGGGCATAAAAATCAACAAAGAGCCATAATTGTGTAAAATTTGGTCGCAGCAAAAATTCCTTCCTTAACTACCATCTACACCTTAAGGTTGTTCATCCCTGTAAGTTTAATCAAAATCTGCCATCCGGTTTAAGAGGAGTTGCGTTCACAAAATTTCTACATAGTATATAATGAAAAAATCAACAAAGGGCCATAATTCTGTTAAATTTGGTCGCAGCAAAAATTCCTTCCTTTACTACCATCTACACATTAAGGTTGTTCATCCCTGTAAGTTTAAGCAAAATCTGCCATCCGGTTTAAGAGGAGTTGCATTCACAAAATTTCTACATAGTATATAGTGAAAAAAATCAACAAAGGGCCATAATTCTGTTAAATTTGGTCGCAGCAAAAATTCCTTCCTTTACTACCATCTACACGATAAGGTTGTTCATCTCTGTAAGTTTAAGCAAAATCTGCCATCCGGTTTAAGAGGAGTTTCGTTCACAAAATTTCTACATAGTATATAGTGAAAAAATCAACAAAGGGCCATAATTCTGTTAAATTTGGTCGCAGCAAAAATTCCTTCCTTTACTACCATCTACACATTAAGGTTGTTCATCCCTGTAAGTTTAAGCAAAATCCGCCATCCGGTTTAAGAGGAGTTGCGTTCACAAGATTTCGGGACGTACGGACTGACGGACGGACTGACTGACGGACGGACAAGTGCAACGCTATATGCTCCCACATTGTGGGGGCATAAAAAGTGTTAATACCCTATTTTCTTCAAATAACACCTCACGTTAGTTTTTTAATGGTACATTAAATACTTTCAGAAATTAAGATTCATGTCCCGAGAAAATCTAAAGCTCAATTCTATAACAACTATGAGCAGAGATGGAAACATTTCATTCTTAACAACATGGTATGGAATATTTTTTACTTTACCTTTTATATATGGACTTCCATTTTTATCCTCGCTAAGTTTAAGACAAGGCCGCCTGTAGTTCTTTTTCTTTGGTGGCACCAGTTCTAGAAGATCAAATATCTGCTCGTTGTAAATCTCCGCAAAACTGACCCACACCGAGAATTTCACTTGACCCTGTTCGTCTACACTAACCTTCCCTTCCTCACGTATACGACTTTCTAGCTCCTCAAATAAACCATCATTGCCGTCTAATGAATCTATAAAATATAGTATTAATATATTTAGTTTAAACAATATTTATTTCAATTTATACAACATAAATATATACAGTAAGCATATACAATCAACAATAGATTTCGTGGATTGGAAAACAAGTCCTTTCCACAATATATTTAAATCAGCATGGTATTAAATTAAAACTGGAATAAGGACAGGCTTAAAAAGTTGTAAGACAATAAATAAATATTCAGTGTTTGGAAGCAATATGTGTTAACAGTACACGAAATTTTTAACATTAAATTTTTTATTTTAAGTGCACATAACAACCAGAAAAATCAGATCTTTTTCTGAAGCTGTTTTTTTTTACATGTAAATATTATCTAAGTGCAGGTTTGCAAAAAGTTAAAATTATTTGGGATCACTCATATTGGCACCAATAAAACCAGTATTTTGTCACTATATATATTGTAATGCAAGTATCACTGACAGTTTTACTAACCTTTCCCATCCACAGTCGACATATTAGACGTCTCAGAGCAGCTTGTGATATTCGTCACCGAGGAAATATCTGACGCGTCATCTCCTAACAAACTCATCACATCCATGTCCTGAAATAAAGTGATTTTTTTGATATCATAAAAGTTGCTTTCAAAGCTCAATTTCTTCTTCTGCTTTGTTATTTTCCCCTGATTTTTAATTACCGAAGAACATTGGTAAGTCAAAGTTGAAGGGACTTGCATAAAAACCGTGACACATTAGGACTTCAACTCATGAATCGGTCTCAATTTAATGTTAAAATTTCTTTGGATACACACTAGATTTCAATGCAATTTCATTCCAACATTACAAGACTTTAAGATCTATGTACTTACATCATCACAACTCAGCTTCATAACTCGTTCTTTTATTTTTCTCTCCATCAGTTCCTGTTCCGGTGTCAGTCGTGTTACATCGATAAACATCTTCGGTTTCAGGTCCATACCATCCCACTGCCTTTTGTTTATGCTGTTAAATAAAACATCTAATGCCCTTGGAAGTATCCCTGCATCTTTTGGGTTTCCTGGTAAGAAACAAAAGAAATTGTTATCGGCTTTAGAAATATTGAAATATCCTCAGTAAAAGTGCCAATTCCATCCAAGTTAAACAAGACCACTATCTTACAACAATTAGCAAGTCAATTTAAATGTGTAAAGCAGGCCACCGAAACAGATTTGGGGCGAATTGGCTAATTTTTTGTGAATTGCCTCAACACAATGTGACAGTGGGTCATATTTTGAATATTTAAACTGAAACTTCTATTAAAGTCTTCTTTGCCTTTTCGACATCTATAACATGTTGCTTGATCAAAGCAATAAAATGTTTCCCAACATTCTAAATGTAAACAGTATCAGTAATTACCATATGGGATAGGCATTACGGTAGAAATACTAAATAATTTGTGATATCAACAGTAACATTTTTTTAGACTTGGAACCATGTCCATCCTTAAACCGGACAAAATATAGATTTTCATTTCTTATTTTCCTTAGAAACGAACAGTTGCAATAATGCTGCATAAAAGGTTGATCAGATGCTGTCTTTTCAATCATTTAAGAAGTGTCTTTTGTAATTTTACAGTTGTGCAATTGCACTAAAATACACAAAAGTCATGCAAAATATCTCTCTAAAAAATCTTATAAAGACACCAAAAATTATTTACTGAAATCATAATTTAACATTTTTTTCCAGTGATTTACTGGTTGTTTAATGGTCCATTAAGCATTTTATACAAGAGCGATCAGTAATCACATGTGTTGCCTCATAATGGCCAATTTCATGTTGGGACAAATTTTGTGACAGACTGACAGACAGACAGACAGTGCACAACTAGACTTGGTACTGATCAATCATGTAAAGTTTGGATAAAATTGCACCAGTAGCTTATGAGGAGTAGTCCGGACAAGCTTTTGCGTATCTGGCAACACACAGAAAAAAACACCTTTTTATCAAAGGGCCATAACTCAGCCAAAAATCATTCAACCGGAAAACCCGTGCAATATGCGCAAGGACTTGAGCTACAGATCAATCCTGTAAAGTTTCATTGAAATTGCATAAGTGGTATAAGAGAACTAGTCCGGACAAACTTTAAAAATAAAAATTATTAAAGGGCCATAACTCTGACAAAAATCATTGAACCGGAAAATGCTGACAATATGCATAACTAGACTTGGTACTGATCATTCCTGTAAAGTTTGGATGAAATTGCACCAGTAGTTTATGAGGGGTAGTCCGGACAAGTTTTGTGACGGACGGACGGACAGACAGACGACAGAGAAGTGATCCCTATATGTCGCCACTACTCCGTAGAGGCGACACAAAAATACAATTCTTTAACAAATAATAGGACAAATCTATTTACCTTGGATTGTGTATGTTTTCCCTGAACTTGTCACACCGTAAGTAAACACTAAGCAATTTTGTCCATCTATAAAATCTTTCACAAGTCCAAGCATGGTGGAGTTAAAGAACTCCTTTTGTGTTGTACTGTCATTAAAGATATGTGAAAATGTGAACTTAGTAGCAGCTCTGCAGGAACCCCTCGTCATGTTCTTGAAGAAATGTGAATCTTTAGGGGCATTTGTTATCAAAGTTCTGTCTGTCTCAATCGATAAACATTGCTGAAGTGATACAGATAAGAACATTAAGATAATTCTACTTTTGTTAACATAATCACACAATATTTAAAATCAATTTCAAACAATCAATAACTTATCAGATATCTAATAATAACATTGTTTTTGCATTCTCTTATTCAAATTAGACATATTCAGTAAGATTTTCCTAAATCAGTGAACTTAATGAATCTGTAATGAAACTATTTTATATAAAGATGAGACTGAGCATATATATCTTTAATTTATCTCAAAATATGGCCTAATTTTTTAAAATTTCAAATCACATCGTCACCATAGTGCAGTAATAGGTTAACTCCTTATATGATTTAAAAGGAGTTAATCCATTACTGCACTTAGGTGATGACATGTTTTGATGAAAATTCAAACATTTCATTGTAAGGTCTATGTAGGAGTTTTACATTTTAAAAAACACAGCATCATGTTGAAAGGAACATATACAAAAGAGAAGGTAATGTATGAAGATAACAAACATACCTGATCTTCATTCCTTTCCTTCTCCTCTGTAGAGAAAGGTCGTACCCTCAGAAACACTTTCATATGCTCATGTGGAATGGGTGGCTCTAGAACACTTGGGCGACCAAAATCCCCTGTAAATTGTTAAAGTTAAGTAATCTGATGCTGTATTAAATCACACAAAACTGCTTATAACTGGTGCTATTCAGTATTGAATGGTTCCACTTTGGAGTGGCAAAACTCAAAAGTATTCAAATAATTTAGGAGATACATGTACTGTATGAAATGTGGAAATATTTGATATTTTTCTACCTAAAGTGGAATCTAAATCATGCAGCCAATTTTTGGTGGAAAACTGCAAAATACATGTATAAAACAATTTCTTTTTTAAACAGAATGCAGTATATATATAGGAAAGGCCAAGAGTTCATTTGGGTAAAAACATAGATATTCATTAAATATTGAAAAATATTTTCAACACAATTTTTAAATCAAGAAGAACTCGTAAGACAAACCCAAGGCTAATTTTTGCATAAATATTCTGAAAAATAAAAAAATAAAACCAAATACCAAGGAGATTTCTTTTTAAATGTGGAACTAGAGGCAGTGTGGTGTCATCATCCTCGTCTTCTGTTATATCCATGGGAACTATGTCCGCAGTTATACGCTGGTTATAACGGTTCGCCATTTTCCTTTCTGATTCTTTTCCTTTCACTTTGTAATATTCTGCTAAATGAATGAAATATATCAGCATTAAAATTTATCAGAACTCAAAACAATCATTTGTTTGACTGATATTAAGGGAAAACATTAAACTTTAAACAGTGTTTTTTTTTCTTTATATAATTACTAACCGAAAAAGGTACTGTTTCAAACTGAAAAAGACATGAAAAGTCCCAATTTCTAATGTAAAAATTCCCAAAATGACTGTTCAAAATTCCCACAAGGCCATGAGATTTCTCTTAAATCATTTAAAATCAAACATGTTTATATAAATCACCACTCAATAGTTCTACCTGGACAGTGGAACCTGCTAGCTGTCTTTATTCTATATGACTAATCTTATTTGTAGCTGTAAAGTTGTTAAATAAAAATTGAGTCAAAACAACACATTTTTTCCCAATCAGTCTGGTACCGGCACCATTCCCAAAGAGGAAAAAAGCACTGCTTTAAATAACAGGGTTTTTTCCCCCAGGATTTTGGGAACATGACCCATACCCATGGAATTGGGAACTTCAGCGATGTTTTGATAAAAATTGGGAAAAAATGCCTGAATTAAATTTGGAAAGATTAAATGCATGCAAAGAATCTTTGTCTAGGATGGCAATCATCTTCAAACATTTAAGCAACATAACAGTGAAGAGGCCTTTATTTTCAAAATTTTTAGAATTTGTTATTCAATATTTATTTGGTAACTTTCAATTGGGATTATTTTCCTGTCGATTGGGAAAATAATATACTATTTTCAATTGGGAATGTAACCAAATATCGGCTATAAAATAGGAAGTGGCTAGCCGTACGGCTAGCCAAAAGTTCTAGCCATACGTGAGTCACGTACGACTAGCCAGGACACACTGTATTGTCTAGCCGTACGGCACTTTTCAAAATTATAGAGAAATTATATGAGAAACGAAAACGCATATATTATTTGTGTCTTTAAACGAGGATTTTTACCAAGTCCCCGCATTTGTCCTCGTGTGTTCACTGTTTAATAAAGATGCTCCGCCATTTTGTAAAAAAATGAATACGAAGGTATAATATACATGTAGATCTACAAGAGTTGTAATCTTGATAAAAGTGTCAAAGTTGCATGTCATGTAGTTATGTAGTGTCGTTGTTTTTCATAAATATGATTTGTTGTTTTATTTGTATGAAAGATGAATCATCAAATATTTTTTTTTATTTGTTAATCATGCAAATGAATCGAATAAATAATAATAACGGCAAATTAAGCTTTTTCATAAAGGCATGATCGGAGTGTAATAAATAAATGAAGAGAACAATGAAAGAAAAAAAATCAACGTTAAAAAGCAAACTATTTTTTTTAAATACAGTAGAAGTATAAAAGCACAATTCGTCACCTTGGCGCAAAAAGTACTGTAACTGACATTTTTGAAATTTTACAGGAGACACAAAAAACTGATTTGTTCATTTTGAGTAAACCCTTTTAATTCCAGACAATAATGTTAAAATATCATTAATAAGTATTATTAAATTGGTTTTAAACATTACAATTATTCATTTATGGATAAAAAGTAATTAGACATTCTTCTACACTTACATGACTTTTTGCACTGAGATTTTAAACGCAAAAAGTGATGTAAGTGCACTTACCTTAGTTTTTGCACTAACTTTAATTTTAAGTATTGAAGTTACTGCATTGCATAGACATTGAAAGATGTTTATTACAAACAAATTAATTGTAAGGTTTGTTTAAAATAGGTCATTGTGGATTATGAACCACATTTAATACATTAAACATATGAAAGGAAGTTTAAAAACTGAATATTTCAACATTAATTTTAAACAGTAACAGTAAATCCAAAGCAGTGTTGTTTTTTTTAATTTCAAAGTAAATGTAAGCATTAATCACAACAAAATTACATGAAAACTGCAGACTCACTTGATTAAGTCTGTACAATTGAGCAATAATGAAAAGTGCAACATCCCTCACGCCCCCTAGCACCGACTTAAGCTTAGTCAATTTTCAACACTTAAAAGTGCTGGAATCAATGATTACAGAGGACCAGAAAAAACATAACAACACTGAAGTGAATTACGTGACAACTTATAAATCATGTTTTTTACTGTTGCCATTTTCTAATGGTACAGTTTATTTATGTATTTGTTATAAAAATGGGGGCATTTGGAGATGTATATATCATAATATCTATGTCTCAATAATATTCAACCATCACAGGGACATAGACTTTGAGATTTTGGATAAAACCACTATGAATCCTGAACTTTTCTGAACATTTTGGTTGGACGTAATCGAGATTTTGGATGAACCTGCTAAGAATCCTAAACTTTTCTTGTCCAACATATCCCAGTGAGATCCTTTTATATTATATCCCATGAACAGACTTAGATTTTTATAAATAATTTTGTTTTCATTGCTTCTTCTTTTCAAAATTTTGATATATTGAATTCAAATTGTCTTATTTCCTGCCACCAAACTTTAAACATTATACGCCATATCACTATCATGGTTTAATAGCTTTGATTTTATATAAAAATTCAGATTATTTTCTGTGACATAATGTGGTTTCGGTCTTTGAAAATTGTGATTTTCTGTTAATTAAAGTGTTTAACATGCACGACATAGAGAATGAACTGAGTCATTCTAATTTTTGATAATAGACCCCATTCTATATGTATGAATGTATGGGAGTTGTAGATGTACCACATTAGACTTAACATACTAGCAATTATGGTTTTGACCAATATATTATTGAAACAGATTACATGTCTTTGTCTGCCATGTTTTTATAGAAATTAAAATAGAAAAGATAAACCATTGATAATAATGTTAGCAACTGTTTCTTTCCAGGGCTATAAATATTGAAATTGCAGTTACATTTTTATAATACAGTTGTCCTTATATAATGCAATAAGAATGTAAATCTTTTAAGCAACTTTTATCTTTATTTTTATAATAAATAATTGAGTAAACAATTGAAAAAAAAAATTACTTAGAGCTTGCATCAATAGAAATGATATTGATGTGTATCGTTGATAATTTTGTTGATCAGTACACAGTTTAGAAAAACCATAATTTTGATTTAATAATTGAATGTCTAGAAATTATGAAAATTCAACCAAAACATAATTATGCAGAAGCATATTTCATGGCAGTGATGACAAAAAATTGTTAGCAAAAATCATGCAATGGGCATTTGTTTGAAACAGGACACATTTATGAAAAGACCATGTTTTTACTGAAAGCATTTAAACATAATTATGGAAAAGAATTAAGAGACAAGTAGTACGTAATTATTAATATATCTGTGTAACATCAAAAATTTTTCATCTTATTTCATCTTTTTCCACCGAATCAATGACAGCTCTTATATTACTTGAATCATTTAAAAATATAAACAAAATTTGAATACTGGAATATTACTAGCTATATTGTTTGTCGTTAAATCAAAATAAAACATTTTCTTTAAATGTTAGTTTCCTAAAGTAGATTTATATATAAAATTTGTATTTTAGAAATAATTTTGCTATTTAATAATGCAGTAGTGAAATATTTTAATGCAGTTACAATACTTTTTGCATCAAATTATTTTCAACTTATCTGTAAAAACATTGGCGCAAAAACTCATGTAAGTGTACTTACTGTAGTTTTTGCACCAACAAATTCTGAAGCTGCACTTACATTTTTTATTTTTATGCCAAAAAAGTCATTTTTTATCAAAAGTCAGCTTCTAAACTTCAGGGACTGGTGAAAGTTTGTATTTCTAACCAAATAATGACAAAAAGTGATTTTCTCAAAAAATGTCAGTTACATTACTTTTTGCTCCAAGGTGACGAATTAATTAGCCTTAATTAAAGTTTATCCAGGGACTGACAATAGAATTTGAGAATGCGTTTCACGGAACATGCAAACTTTCCCTAATGATAGTCGGTAATTGACGCAATTATCAGAGCCCGACAACAATTATTTTCGGTGTTTTTTTTTTAATTTTTTTAAAGGTGTTGAAAATTAAACGTATTGAAACAAAAAAGGATTATTATCACAATTTTGTAAACTATTTCAATTGATGTTTTTCAACTGCAACCAATTTTTAAATGCTCCTTTTTTCTCGCCATCTGGAGATGACAAAGATTGATATTCATACATTTTTACTTAATTCTTTACTGTACTGTAGCCAACATGGCGACGGATTAATCTCTAAAAAGTAAACATACGAAGAGGATTGCTGTTTCTTGGTTAAAATCCTAGCTTTAAAGTCATAAAATAACATATGCATTTTTCGACTTCAATATAATTTTAAAAAGTGCCGTACTACTAGCCATAACAGTGTGTCCTGGCTAGTCGTACGTGACTCACGTACGACTAGAACTTTTGGCTAGCCGTACGGCTAGCCACTTCGTATAAATTAAGCAACAAAAAAATCCCTGAAAAAAAAGCATTAATATTTTGGACAAGAACCATTACAAAAAACTTTGGACTACCATTTGCTGAAAAGGAAAAATTTAATATTTATCAAGGGGAAGACATTGACCACCGGTATCAATTTGTTACAAGAAACTTTATTTAAGTCGGTTTATAGCCTACCGTGACCCAAATTCGGCGTTCTCCTAAATTCGGCGATGTTTTGTTTTTCATCATTCACGCGAGATTTCAGAGGTGAAGGTCAATCATGTTTATGTCCCACGGTCTATTTTTACAACTCCAGTGATTTTCTGCGCTAAATATGGAGATACGGCTGGTAAACATTAAAAATTGTATATGACATGGAGAAAATTGTGTGTTTTACCTGATGCAATTTCAAGTTTATCTATACTTCCCTCTATTTGATTGATATTGTTGCTTAAAATAATTTGACAGTCGCCGTTTTTTATCTAATATTAAACTAACTATTTTTACTGCCGATCTAGGTCAACATACTACGTCACAATCCCGCGAAAATAAAAAAATTACTGCAACCAATCAGAATCGCCAAATTTAGGTGACGTTTTCAGATCGTAGTACTTAAGATTTTGAATTACAGTCAACC